GCCTGGTGGAACCACTGAGACTATGGCTCCTAGCTGCCCTTCAGGTCTGGAATTGAACCCACACCTGTGGTTTCCAGCCAAACAAAATACAGGCACATGAGTTGAACATTTACCTCAAGTAGATACACTCCTTGGAGAGAACAATCATGGGAGAAAGAAGCGTTGCTTATTCACAGGGAGACAGTTCAGGGGGCAGTAGTGTATGGAGGGATGGACACTGGGAAGAAGTAACTATGGGGAGGAAGTGGGGGGGGAGCTGTTGCATTGTGGTAAACTGTGGTCAATGGCATGAGACAAAGTATATGTGAACTGCTTTATGGAAAGTGAATTTGCTCTGTAAACTTCACCCCAATCACGATTAAAAAAAAAAAGAAGAAGAAAACAAAAAATAAAAAAGACAGGAATGGATCTCTCATGACACAGCCAGTAGGGGAACAAGGTACTCATGTAGGTAACTTTGGAAATGAGTCTGTAAGACTAAAATGCAAAAAGAATTACACATAATTACTGTCCTGTAGTTGAGAAAGTTATTTTCCATGGAGTATGCATTAACAGTTCTGATAGTGATATATTTGTATACTGGAAGTGAACAATTAACTTAATGGATGGTAGATATTGGGAGCCAGATGTCTTTCTATTGGGACAGGAATTTACAGATAAGGAAAGAGAGGAGGCTGCATTGATCCATTTGGCATTGAAGTAGAATTGAAGACATTAGTATGAACTCATATTTAGCCTAATGTAGACACAGATGATTACATAGAAAAATATTTGATACATGTATATACATATGTTAGTATACAAAAATATACTTCCTTGCTTTGTCAGCTGAGAGGGCCTGAAAATAATGATACTGTAGTGTCAAAAAGTAGTCTAGCACCCAGATCTTGATTTCTAATACCATTATCCAATAAAAGGAATCAGGGTTCCTTGGAGAAATGGTTGATTCTAAAACTGAGGCAGGAAATAAACAAATATATGATTCTGGAGCGTCTTAAAGTGCCAGAAAGTAAGGAAGTGCTAAGCAAACAAAAGAACCAACTAAAAAGAGCTGCCAATGGTCAAAGCTGGAACAATTTGAACAACAAAATAGAGTAGTATTGGATTATGACCCAAAGAATAAAATAAATGTTCATGAGTTCATTCTGATATAAATAAGTGATTGAATAAATAAATAAATTAGGGGAAAAAGACAAATCTCCTGGGAAGAATAATTCCAGATAATTTATATAGATACTCTGCCCTCTAGGAAGAGGGGCATAATTTCCTACTCTTTGAATATGGGCTGCTCATAGTAACTTCCTTCCAAAGAGTTCAGTATGGACACGGGAGTGGGGGTAACTTTTACATTGGAGAAACCTGACACATACTACCTCAGCCAAGTGGTCAAGGTTAAAATCAACAGTTATAAGTTACATTAATAATATGTATCCTGACACCATCTAATAATGAGAAAAATGTCAAATTCCAGTAGAAGGACATCCTACAAAACAAGAAAAGTCTAAGAAACTCTCACAGCCAAGAGGATCTAAACGAGATGACAACTAAATGTAATGTGGTATCCTGGATAGAATACTGGAACAGAAAAAGGACATTAGGGCAAAACTAACAAAATCTGAATAAAGTATGGACTTCAGTTATAAAAATGTATCGATATTTGTTCATTAATTTTGATAAATGTACCATACTAATGCAAGGTGTAAGAAGCTATGGTGGCATAGTGCATAAGGCATTTGACTGCTAAACAGAAGGTTGGCAGTTCAAACCTACTAGCCACTCCATAGAAAGAAGACTGAGCAATTTACTTCCATAAAGATTTACTGCCTCAGAAACCCAAAGGGGGTCTCTGCGAGTCAGAAATCAACTCAATGGCAGTAAGTTTGGTTTTTTTTTGGGGGGTAATGCACAGTATTAGTAGTGGACTGGTTACTGAATATATGGGAACTCTCTGTACTAGCTTCTCAATTTTTTTTTTGCAAATCTAATGGTGTTCTAAAAAATAGTCTATTAAAAAATGAAAGTACTGTCTGAAGGCCTCAAAATAATGCAGTGTTTTTTTAAATTTTTGTTTCCTGCAGTTTTGAGAGTGTCTCCTGCCTTGCTGACTCTACTTCCCTTTCAGACATCACTTTTGATGGCAATCCAATAGCTCAAGAGTCATGGTACAAACACACTGTCCTTCAGAATATGATGCAGCTGCGCCAGCTAGACATGAAGAGAATCACGGTGAGAACTCTACCAAACTGTCCACCATATTGTGTCCTTAGTGTGAATTAGAAAATTGAAGTGTATCTTCTTTGTTTTAAATGTTTCTTAATTTTAGTGGACTATAGATTATCATGACTATATACTTCATAATTATAATTACAGAGTTTTTGTTTGTTTTACCACCTGCTTTCTAACCCCAGTTTTATTGTGGAACTGTAAGAATTCCTGGCCTTCTATTTAAATTAGTTATCATGCTTATTGTTCATTCTTGCCTAATATCCAACTTATAATTTACTTTTGGATGCATAAATAAAAGTTCCACTGATAAGTGTGCTGTGATTATAACTATGAGTGCTAGAACCAGACTGTCTGAGCGTGTATCCTGGCTTGACCACTTTCTAACCATGTGACCTTTCAGCAATGTCTCAAACCCTGTGAGACAGTTCTACTCTGTCCTACAGAGTCATTATGCGTAAAGTAGCTAACCTTAGAACAGGATCCTAGGAAGCACTATGTGGAGCTGCTATTATTATTAATCTACCACCCACCTGTTAGTTTGTCATACTGTGGTGGCTTCGATGTTGCTATGATGCTGGAAACTTTGCCACCAGTATTTCAAATACCAAGACTGTCACCCATGCTAGACAGGTTTCAGTAGAGCTTCCAGACTAAGGCAAGAGTAATGAGAAAGGTCTGGCAATCTACTTCAGAAAATAAGCCAATAAAATTCTATGGATTATGTCATATTGTGGACATTTAGGGTGGCTAGAAAATAGTTGGAAGTATTGATCAATTCATGAATATCAAAGGTCTTCTATGCCTCTCTCTTTGCTTCAAGATGGAGATACAGTTCTTTGTCCTCCAAGTTTGTTCAGATCTGTACTGTCAACACTGTTTCGTCCTTTTTTGGTGACTTTACCCATCTCAGTGTCTTTCTGAATTAAGCTCATTGGTACTTCTAATTGCCCTTCCAGAAGAGATCAAAATTAGTATCTATGGGGTTAACCCACTTATATAAATTAGTACTAAATTATATATGGATGTTTCTCCTTGTTAATTTATATGTCAGTCTTATCTACCCAATTAATAAATATAGTCCTTAAGTGTAGAAAATCTTCTTCCTTGCCTGACATATGTGATGTCCTATAAATGTTTATTTCCTTCCATTCTTTATCCAACACATTGCTGAGATGTAGTTGAGCTTAATAATGTTCAATAAAGACTTGTTGACCAAGTAAAAATTACCTACTCCCATGCCTTAAATAAAGCAGAATATTACTTTGTATAAGTTTGCTCATGTGATAATTTGTTTGCCTTGTAAGGAAATAGGGGAAGATCACCTAGGATGGGAGCAGGGCCAGCTGTTCTGCAAAATTCAGAGCAGCAATCCTTATACACGTGCTTCTCTATTGTTTAATTTTGAAAATTATGAATCTTGGAAACAATCTTAAAGTGACAGAAGAGTTGTAAATGCAATGCAAAAACTGTTTCCTTGAATCATTTGAGAGTAAACTGCTGACTCAATCCCCCAATAATCACAAACACTTTAGTATGTATTTTTTACAAGCTAAGACTTGTTCCTATATAACCTCAATATAACCAATAAAGTCAGGAAATAAACATTGAAAAATTGCTAGTGTCTAATTCCCATACCCCATTAATATTTCACCAGCGATCCAGTCAGAATTACATGTTGCATATAGGTGCATTTAGTTGTCATGTCTCAATAGTCACCATTAGTCTGGAGTAGTTCTTCAGTCATTTCTTTGACTTTCATGACAATTACAGGCCAATTGGTTTGTAGGATGACCCGCATGCAGGTTTTTCTGATGTTTCCTTCTGATTAGTTTTTGTCTCTAGATCTTTGGTGTAAATATCAGAGAAGTGATATTGTGTTTTTCTCATTATATCATTCCTATCAAGTGGTATATAATCTATATGTGTTCCTTTACTGATGATGTTCACTTTGGTTAAGGTGATGTCTGCCAGGTTTCTCCATGTGAAGTTATGCTCTTTCCATTTGTAATCCCATTCCTCAGAAAATTTTTAATTTATCTTGTCAGTATGAACTCATCATTTTCTGTTTTCACTCGATAGGTTATAATTCATTACTATCATTATTTATTGTGATACTTAAATTGCCCTCAGTTTGGCCAGGGAAGCTGCTTCAAACTACTTCTGTGTCCTTTTGACATGTCTCCATCATTCTTTAAGGTTCCCATACTTTCTGTCACAAGATGTTCCAATAAAACAAAACCAAACTCATTGCCATCGAATCAGATCTGACTCATAGTGACCATTCCTTGGGTTTCCGAGATGGTATCACTATGGAAGTACATTGCCCCATCTCCCTTCCAAGGAGTGGCTGGTGGGTTTGAGTCACCAGCCTCTGGTTAGCAGTCAAGTGCCTTAGGCACTACACCACCAGAGCTCCAGCAGTGAGTTTGATTTTAAAATGTTCCAAGCTCATGGAATTAGCCATTTTGTCAAGGAGTCCTGGTTCCTTTTAGTGGAAAATGGTATTTAGAAGCACAGATATGAATATTAGGTGTGCTCATTGCTACTGGGGTTTGCTGCTCAAAGGTCCTCCGAGTGGACAGGACTAGGGAATATATATACACACACAAAAAACCCCTACATTGATACATACATGCATATATATGCATCAACATTTGTATTTACATTTGTGTTTATATATTGAAAACCATGAATTCTCATCCATACATTCTATTCCAGTCTAAGATTCATTTTAGTGTTGTTTTTTCCTTTCCATATTTGAAATTACCTTCTCTAACATTGAGAAGCCTGACTCTTGTTATCCTTAGTATATTTACTTATTTGATCAAGCATCCTGTACATAACCACCGTTCTTTGCTACCACTACCACTTTCCCTCATAGATGTCCCTGTATCCCACATGTGTTCTAACACCCCATGATAAGGCATAGCTATGGTCCTTCAAGTGGACACTCTGACCCCCTACCCTATCCTACACTCCCTTTGGGTGCTCCCTTACCCTACTGAGGCTCCTTCTGCCTGTGGTTGGCTACTCCCCATGTGGGCACCTTCTTTAGCCTGCTTGGACTTTGATATCCCCAACATGATCTCCCTCTTCACCTTACTCGGTTATGGACACCCCAGCCAGATAATTCCCCTGTGTGGATGCCCTTCTCACTCCCTTTGGGTGGGGCTTGTTGACTACATGAGGGAAGAAGCTGAAATTAAGGAAAAATGGTTAAAATAAGCCTAAGAAGCTTCTTCATCCCCTTGTGCTTATGTCCTTGGAAAGCTACAGAATGTATGTGATCAATATATGAAGCACAACTTAAAATGATTTCCAGTTTCTAAGAATGACCTTTAATTTTAAAGCTGTAAATTAGTGCTAAGAAGCTGAGATCAATATTAGTCTATTATTTCTGTAACTAAGCCATTAACTAGAAGGATTCACAAGGATTCCTTTAATGTAATTTTTTCATTATTAATGAGAAATATTAACTCTAAAGACATTTGACCTTTAGTCAAACCTTTCTTCCTCAAATGACATTTAAGTTACTAATTTGATGAGATCAAAAAGAAAGCTAGAACCAAACAAATGGGTAGGAAAGATAAATACCATATTACTTCAAGTTTCATTTTATCTTGTTAACTAACTAAATTGGTTTCTATTAAGCAAGTATTCTATTAAGTATGTGGATTACCTTATATGATGCAGACAATAGAATCTTTTTCTGTTATTTAATTGGTGAAAAATTGTTGAGTCTAAAATCCAAATACAGTCTTGTAAGAAATATATTTGTTTTCCCAAAGTTATGTATAAATTTAATGCAACTCAAGTTAAAATCCCATCAAGTGTATCATTAAAGTTAGATAAAATTATTTTTATGTTCATATGGAAGAGTAAATTTTTTACCCCAGAACAACTAAGAAAACTGCAAAAAACTGTGAGGCTAGGAAAGTGAGGGTCTGCTTCTCACATATTAGAACATACTGTAAAGTCACAGTGATAGAATCAGTATGTGACTGGTATAGAATTAAGTCAATGGAACATTCTAGAGAGTCCAGAAATTAACCCCATATATGAGAAGTAAGTATAAAATTTATTTCCATCTATTTATGTGAACTTTTAATTTGAAACATACATACATACAGTAATGGCCACCCGTAAATGTACAATATGATGAATTTTCACTAAGTGACCATGCCTCAGTAACCCATACCCAGATCAAGAAACGTAGTCATACAGGCCCTGAAAAGTCCTCTTAATGCCTCACACCAAACCCTATTTTTTCCCTTCCCAAAGGTAACTACTGTTATGTTTCTAACACTATAGATGAATTTTTCTCATTTTGGAGCTCTGGATTTTTTCTCTCAACATTCTATTTGTGAGATTTATTCATGTTATATATAATTGTAGTTCATTCCTTAATGTTCATCCCTCTTCTCCTAGATAGTCCCATGATTCACTTCTTAATTTCTTCGGGTCTGTGCTCAAATGTCACCTCTGGAAAGAAATTTTCTCTGACAATTCTGTTTAAAATACCTTTCCCTCTCTTGGCCCCTTATCTTTATTTGTCTGTCTTCATCTTATTCATTACTACCTGACATTACATTATACATCTATTTATTTGTAGTCCAACTCTGAAACATCTTTGAATATAAGCTCCATAATGGCAGGAATATTTGCTGCTGTTAACATTTTTACTTTCACATGATCCTTAGAATTACTTAAAGTTCCTTTGGATGAAACTTATATTTCATCAAGTCTAGACTTTGGGAAGAGTTGACATCTTTTCAGAATTCAGCCTTTCTTCCCAGGAATGTGATATGTTGATGTTGTTAGGGGCCTTCACGTTGGTTCTGACTCATAGTGACACTATATACAACAGAACCCTATATAAAACAGTGCCCAGTTCTGTGCCATCCTCACAATCTTTGTTATGCTTAAATCTGTCATTGAAGCCACTGTTTCAATCCATCTTGTTGAGGGTCTTCTCCTGGTTTGCAGACCATCTCCTTTAC